ATACACTCTGGATTAGGATCTTCACGTACTCACACACACATACACTCTGGATTAGGATCTTCATGCCATGCACGTACGCTCACACACATACACTCTGGATTAGGATCTTCACGTACTCACACACACATACACTCTGGATTAGGATCTTCGCCAAAGGTGGGTCCAACGGGAACTCAGCCATTTTGCGGCCCAGTCGGGTCAGCAGTCCTTCGTCATCGAGGGCCGATAGAGCGTGCAGGATCTCCTGTGCAAGGACGATTGAAAGAGATAGTGGTGGTGAGTAGGTATCGTTGTTTCTTAAATGGCGCGTATGTGATATGGTAAGGCCATTAGAGTGTAGTATGTACTTGTAGAGGTATCTGTAGCTACATGTGTATTTGCTGTAGGCATTGTCAGTGCTCTCCAGATGGCAGTCGATGATTCTGAGTCCGGAAATTCAAGACTTGAAGTCCTATCCACATACTTATTCTCGCACAAGTACTTTTCCACTCACACCCGCCCACCCCCCACCCACACCCACACCCACACCCACACCCACACGCACAGCCTAATTCCTCACACTCGCACAATCTCACTCCCACTCACTCTACCTACCATTGCCGAGATCAAAGTTGCCGGCGGGGGCGGATCCATAAAGTCAAATGCAAGCAGATCATTGATGCCCATAGCCTTGAGCGATAACACAGTTGAGCACAGATTGGTGCGCTGTATCTCGGGTACGTTTGTGGGCAACATCTCATTCCTGTATGCAGGCTCTGTGTATAAACGGTAGCACTTCCCTGGCCCAGTGCGCCCAGCTCTACCGGCTCGTTGGCGGGCCTGAGAGCATAGGTGTAAAAGAGTGAGTATTATATATATATATATATATATATATATATATCTATCTATATATATATATATATATACATATATATACATACACACACATATACATACATACATACATACATATATACATACATACATACATATATACATACATATATACATCCATGGCATGTATGCATAGATATATAGCGTCCGCATAATTAAACAGCAGACTATGCGTGCAAACACCATCGTAATCTATTAGGATCGCACGCATACACATAACAAAACCACATTAACCCACCTGAGCCTGTGAGATGGGTGTGACCACAAGAGCATCCACCCCACTCTGTGCATTGTAGACGTTCTGCTTGACAAACCCTGGGTCCACCACATAGTAAATGCCGTCAATAGTCAGCGATGTCTCGGCAATATTTGTGGCCAAAATAACCTGATTGTGGAGAAAGTAGTGGGGTTGGCATATAATAATGGGGGGTTGATTGTGCTGGGTCCAGGACTAGGTCAGGTATGAGTGCGGAGGTGAGTAGCAAAGCAAGACTTCGAAGCGAAGCATTTTACTTAGGGGACAGCAGAGGTTGAAATAAACTAGTGAAACACACTCTTTCGCCGACATCAGGCACCACAAGAACCAATACACAGATACAAACACGCACGGTGAGGGACGCCCGTACTCTATAGTCGAGTAACAGGAGGGACATGGTCGAGGATAAGCACCTACATACTAAGAAGAGTGACGCGTGATAGGTGTATGTCATAATAAGCAGCACGTTGTGGCTAGTGGCTCGTCGTACATATACAGAAAAGCAGGAGGATATATATATATACACACACACACATATTTATATAGATATAGATATAGATATAGATATAGATATAGATATATATATATATACATATACAAATATATATATATATATATATATATATGTATATAAGTATATATATATATATATATACATATATCTATGTATCCGTACTGACACGCACACATACAAGTAAGCAAGCAAAACCACACATGTATATACATGCGCTTCACATACCTTTCTGGCGCCAGGAGGGGCCGGGTCGAAGATACGCGTCTGCATCTCTGAGGGCAGGGCTGAGTACACGGGCAAGATCATCAACTGCGGCACACGGTTGCCCAGGGCTTGCATGCGCTCGAACAGAATCTCACACGAGGTGTCAATTTCTTCTTGTCCCGTGAGGAACAGCAGGATGTCGCCGGGGGGTTCGTTGAGATGGATCTGTGGTTGGACATAGTGTAGGTGGGTGTTACATCACTGAGAGGTGGCACGACCTTGAACGCTGTTCGTACCGTCACACACACAGTCTGACGATGGCCACGGGGCGCCCACACAACTTGGCACCAGGCAGATGAGTATTGTTACCGTGTCAACAGGTGATGTTAAACCACTCGCACTACTTCGTGGATACTGATATGTGTGCTCAACTCATGGAGGACGGATTGCTTCTTTTCGTACGAGGACTGGTTACTCTACAAACTATTGAGGTTCGGTCTGCTGCTTAGCAACCAATAACAACACACCTACGGTGTTAAAGAGTTTTGGAGGTACTGCGCAGACTCAGAATCGCACAGAAACACAAGCAGGGACGCAGATGTGTGAACACGACCTCTAATATGGCTATACACTCAATACATATATACACGCCTGCACACATATACATGATTAACCCTCCCCTAGAATAGCTGAACGTTGTGGCAGCACATTCACAAAAACACCCACCCAATGTAACACACAGGTATCCACACACACAACACGAGCACGTACACGCACACACACACACACACACATATAATACATATACATAC